TTGGCCTACGCAAGCCATTTTACTGTCTCATGCAGATAAAAGTTGTCAAAGTTACAGTGCACAAAAACCCCTGGGTGGACTGACCTGAATGAACTCCTGCATACAATGCAAACTGCTAACATGACACTTAGTTTAAACTTGACTATGGTTGCTCATTTTTTAATTCAATTAGGCAGACCACGCAATACACACAGTGATATGGATTAGAAGAGCATTCACTTACCTTAGATGTTGATTAAGCTGTTCTGAAGCAAGCTGCAACTGCTACGGCAAGCACTAGTCATATGTTTGAATGTTGAGCAGTGAGCTCATTGGCTACCGATACAGGAGAGAACCAATCAGCTGTGCCATGTGATGATGTCATTAGGTCAGATTGAGTTAGACCTATCGGACTGCTCCATCTAGAGTTTCATGCCAGAACTCTGTATTTGCAAAAATGTTATGAGATAAATGTTTTAAATATATGAACTTTATATAGGAATATGAAATGATTAAAAATATAATTATACATTTAAATACAAAATTAAAACCGACAGTAGGTGGTGGCAAACCACTGCCTTAGTGAGTGAGTCTTGCACTGCACTTATAGTACGTTACGCCATCTACCAGAATGCATTTCGTAATCAACCCAACACTGCTTGTGAGATACAAAGTAATTGTAGTCAACAGGTTTAAACAGACATTTTTATAATACACTTAAATTCAAGTGAACAAAATAAAATGCGACTTACCTGTATTAAGTTTTGAAAACAGAATTGGATCAAACATTTGTCCAAGAATGTGAGAGCATAATGTCCATCCTCTTTTAGATTGTCAAACAGGTTCATCCAAAACTGGATGCACTGACTTCTTAGTGTAAGCCACCATCTCTCAATCTGTTGATTGCTGGTGCTCGGCCCAAAACTGATGCAAGCAGAGTCAGGATGCGTTCCATGATGCAGAAATTTCTGCATCTCTGCAACACTGACGTTCTCTGTACTGAGATCCAATCTCACCATATTAGGGCAACCCTCTGCTTCTATGACAGCTGTCATAAAGTACCCAGCAATAACCCGAGGATCATTGTTTGTTCTGTAAGCTTCGAGCCACATTATTTTTCTTGAAAACCCGTCTATACAACCACCTATACCTATTCCGTATGGCTTTAATTTATCATATCCATTGCTATGCCACACATAACTAGGTCCATGGCTGAAATACACTTGCCGGCAAAGTCGATTCCTAGACCTGAGATCAACTCCCTCGCCGTCTAGCAAACATAAAGTCACCCGCACAGTCTCTCTGTCTGTGATAATTCCATTGAGCCAGCATTTCTGATGCATCCACCTGTAACCATGTGACTTCCTTGATGTTTGTAGTTGTTGCTGAATGAAAGCTGCAACATCAGCTTCATCAGTCTTGTTCTTCCTCCTCCAAAGCTGGTGTTTACTCAAAATTCACTCAATGATGTGATTGCTAAATTTGACTCAATGTACCTATTTCAGTAGAGTTAGTATTTCACGATTTGTTAGTCCCCGTCTGAAATACTGCTCTATTTGTTTAAAATCCATGGATCACACGGAGGCCCACATCAGCAACACTGGCGCATAGTCAGTATGTGTCATAATTACAAAGTTTCTCCTTATTATGAGATGTTAGATGATTATTATGAGAAACTAAGTCGTCATTACGAAAAAAGCATCTCATTATTATGAGAAACTAACACAGTGTCCTAACTACACATGACGCGATGAGATTCCAGCAACAAACAACCGCCACACCAGATGCAACGCGACCAGGGTGCGAACTACGGGGGAGCTAGGTGGAGCTCGGCTCCCCTTATTAAGACATGGGCTCCCCTGAAAACGTGATTTGTGAAATTTTGGGGGTCTCAAAAAATATCAACAATTTGTTATTTTGACGTGCAATTTCAGTTTTGTGTAATGTGATAATCGTGGATTATTATGTGTAAAATTGCAAAAATATCATTCATTCATGCATGACGGCGATTTAAACCTAATTCACGTCAATAAAGATAACTATACATGCTATTCTTGTCATGAGCATCAAGGTGTGGGGGCGCTGCGGTGCAAATTCCACTCATGTTTAGTACATGTTAACTCAAAGATTCGTAGAAAAAATATAAACGCTGGACTCTGTGGTCGATTCTGTGTTAAGGTAAGGCATGTTATTCACAATTATGTGTTGTGGCTGGGTTGTTATAGGTCTGCGTGACTCTCGATGTCTTAGGCCTAACTGAACGGAGGAATTATGGTATTCTTCTGTAGCCTGACGACGAGTAAATTTAACCGTTTTTTTATGTGAACTCAAAGACAGCCTGATGCTTTGTTTATAGACTATTTGTGGGTGGCTGTTTGTTGTTTCACCTATCAATTCGTGTCGATAAAGTATAATAGGGTAAATCCTGTATAGTGATTTATCCTATATAGTGCTTGCATAAAGCAAGTAGTGCATACACTTGTAGCTGGTATGTATCTTTGTAAGTCATTCTTTTGAGGCAAATTACTTGCAAAGTTACTTATAGTCAGTTTGTGTAGCATCAAAATAAAGTGTGAGCAGATATTAAGCAGACAGTCTACTAATGACTGCTTGTTGACATGGAGTTGCAGAGTTACTTATAGTTAGTAGAAAGTGTTAGTACACGTATTGGAGGAATCGACCTCCGAACAGAGGAAGATGTGTTTGACAGGATCCAGTGATGAGCTAGTATCGTGGGATCTGGTGTTTGATTGCTCTCGGTGCTCACCTGCTCCTGCAGCAGCGCCATCTGCTGACGCATGTCTGCCTCTCGGCGCCGCAGACGCTTATTCTCCTGCAGCATGCGCTCATGGTCCTTCTGCTCGGTTTTATAGTCAGCCTCGTAGATTTTAGTCTGTGGATGGATAAAGTCAAATCTATTACACCTACAACAGAGATTTGACTATTTTACTGTGCTACTGTGTTAAATGTAAACTGTTTTTGTAAAAAAAAAAAAAACATCTATGAAGCCGATTTTTTTTTTTTGTATAAAATAGTGAAGAAATGCAACTTATATTACTTACATTAAACTATTACTTATATTAAACTAATATTATACCCCCAAATTAACCTTTGTCCTCATTTGTGAGTTGCTTTGAATAAAAGCGTCTGCTAAATGATTAAATGTAAATATTTGTACCTTCTGTTTACCTACTTTACTAATGTTTAATGTTTAACTCTATAAAGCCAACTATGTCATATTTGATATGCACATTTCTAAGGGATCTAAATGATCAACATGACAAAACCTGTTGCACACAGTCAGTTCATACTTTTTATTTGAAGAAAAAAGAAAATTGTAAAAACGTCCACCTTGATCGCATGGCGGCAAGTAAACAGAAGAATAACTTTTATATTGTTAGTCATATTTCTCAATTCATCTCTCAGTCATCATTGGATTGCATTGCATTATATGTTTTGATCATTTAAATATCAGCTTACTAAGACATATTATTGGCAGATATAGAGTGATGATTTATAATACATATGTACAAGCTATCAGAATTTCATCTTACTTTTTGGCCACATAAATATCAGCAACTGCAGCAAATCGCATATTTTGGCTCAGTTTGAGTCTCTAAATATGTATGAATATATATGAAGTATGAGCTCCTTATTCTCCTATACTCACCTGACACCGCAGTGCCACCAGCTGTTCTTTAAGATCCTGAACCTCTCTCATAGGGTCAGACTGCATCTCCAATCCCATACCAGCCAGTCTGAGACTGGACTTTGTGCCCAGTGACGGAGGAAGTGCTGGAGTCGACCGTATGTCCAGGGACGGCTTAGACAAGCTCTGCACTAGCTGACAGTCTGAGGAGCCACTGATATCTGGGGTCTTCCAAAGGAAAAAAAAAATTCAATGAAGATGTTAAAGGATAACATACTGTAACTGGTCTGATTGATTCTGTAAGCTCACCTGAGTTCCTCTAGTCCACTGCTGAAGATCTGTTTGGTGCAGTCGGCTCTCCAGCAGTCTGACATACTCCTGCAGATGCTGGTTTTTCTTCAGTTCCTGCATCAGTGTTTGTTCATAATATTCCCTCTTGTTCTGCGCACACAAATACAAACATGCAAAAGTCTGTTCGTGGATCTGCTTCTGAATCAGAGCGATCCACAGCAAAACATCAGTCACACCACAGAAGAAAAAAACACCAAATGTGCCACACTTTTAGAAAAATAAAGGTTCCATTTAGAACCAAAACACTTTAGAGCTGGAAACTTGTTTAAGTTGCACAAAGACAATTCTGTCATCTTTTAGTCACCATCAGGTTATTCCAAACTCGTGTGACTTTCTTTCTTCAGCGGAACACAAAATAAAAAAAAGCTGTTTAGCAGAATCTTCATGCTGCATTTTCTCATACAACAGATGCATACAGTGATCAAAAAATTGACAAAAAAGCACCATAAAAGTATCATAAAAGTAGACCATATTTGGAAGTACACACATACAGTATATATATAGTCCACATAAGAAGTCCATATTTGCTGAAATAAATGGCTAATTTAATTATGAGGTAACCTAACCTTTAAAAGATTTAATATTTCGAGATCTCCAATAAGTACATATCACTGCAGTTTCCAAAAGAAATGAACACTAGAGGCAGTAAAACTCCGACACCTTTTATTCCTTTTCACTCAAATTTACAGAGTTTCGATTAAGAAAGCGTAATTTTCGCACAATTATTGAAGAATATTATGTTATGACTTTAAGACAATTTTAAAGCAGCACTATGTAACTTTTGGCGCTCTAGCGGTTAATAAACAGAACTGCACACATCCCGCGGAAGAACATTCCAACCGGAGCTACTTCTCTAAGTTTATGTCTCTGGCGATTCACGCAGGTATGTGTCCCTCCGCAGCGGTGACGACCCGACCAACTGAATTTGGTCGGGTCGTCACCCTCACGTTTGAAACTGCGGCGAAACGTGCAGTAAGGTACGTAAAAACGGTGCTGCAGAAAAGTACCCAGAGGTACGTATTTTTATGAGACCAGGTTGGCCAAAAATGGTCCTTGATAAGAAGAGAATTTGTTGCTGAACCTGAGGTTCAGAGTACGACCTCTAGCATTAAATTACTTGCAATTGACAAACCAACTTCCCAACTTGGGTTAAAATGACCAACACTTGGCTAACCACCAGTCCTACCAAACCTCTGCAGATGAGATCTGTCCACTGGCAGAGTACGAGGGCCTCGTTCATAATTCCTCTCTCAAATGTCTTTAGCAGTGTGTTATTGAGCTTTAGTGTCCTGGAGCATGTGAGCTTCATAAGGGATCAGGGTTAGTCTGCAAAACAGCCTCATATTCCTGCCTCTCGACCATGCAGAGCAATCATCTGAACTAATTACTCCAATATCCTCTGGCTTTCTTCAAATATAAGCCATCCAGATGTAATAAGTCAGGTGAGAGGTGACTCATCACACATATTGCTTTTCACATCTCTTACAGAACCAGGGAGTGTGCACCTTACATCAGGTTATGCTGTTTTAAATGTGGCTCCACATCGTTTCTAAACCATAACTCCATAATCGACCAAAACCTTAACCAAAAGTCTGTTTGGTTAATGGGAATGTTGCTGCAGGACCAACAAGGATGCTTATCCAGGATCTTGTATAGTTGCATTATGAGCTTATATTTGATCCTGTTTAGAAAATGGCACTATTCTATTTATTACTGTAAATGCATTTTATAATTACAGTGTGTTTTTTTAGACAAATGCACAAAATGTGTTAGCAGCATCATTTTAGTTTTTAAAAAATTGCACATGAAAGTAAACTGACAACCAGACGGTGATTCAGCGTTAATTAGCCTAATGTGTGATTTAATCACTTGCACTTTGGTATCATCATGGTCAACGTTCCAAAAATAATTAAATAAAATAATAAAATAAAATATAAAATAAAATACAAATAAATAATAAAATAATACAAAAATAAATAAATACAAATAAATAAATAAACTGTAAAATATTTAAAAAAATTGATATGACTGAATCAATCAGACTACCTCAGGTTATTCTAGTGAAGAGTCAAATCATATTACGACTCAGATCAGGTAGAAATAGCTTCACAAAGAAAAAAAAACAAAAAAAACATGTCCAACCAGTGGTGTGGGTTCAGAGCGTGACTGTTTGCTCAACCGTTGACAGACTGTGTTTCTAGGTAAACTAACAATATTTGCAATTCTGTTTAGTGACAGTAGAGACACTAAAACTACACACTTGGCCTTTAAAGCAGCTGTGCCGTAACAGTTTGAGAGCGTTCTTCTGCCCACATACCTGTTCATGTTCTACTTTGAGCAGCAGTCGGCTGTTGAGCTGTTTGAGGGCCCTGCTCTCCTCCTCGAGGGCCGCCACACGCTGCTGGAGGCCCACACTCGTGCTGTGATAGATGTGATCCCACTCCTCGTTCAGCTTCATCAGCTAACACACACACACACACACACACACACACACACACACACACACACGCTGCAGTTTTATATCAGTGTGGGGACTTTCCGCTGACTTTGTTGTTTTCACACTGAGCTAATTGCATTTGACGTATCCTAACATTACACTTTCCCTAAACTCATACAGAAATATTTCTACATTTTTACATTTTCATGACATAATTTTTAAGCCCCTTTAGTCCATATAGGGTCGTTGGCTAACTGTACTTTCATTGTAGGGACATTTGATCCCCACAAACACAGCAAAATCTGACCCACCTACACAAAACACTTGAATAGATTATGTTTGCAAAAACAACACCTTACTTTCTTGACATAAAAAAAAAATTGTATTTTTTCTCCAGAAGGTGTCCACTTAGACCACATACTTTTGACTGTCATATAAATATTATGGTTCATGAATATGGTAATTAATTACTACCACTGTATGTGTCACCTAATTGCCAAATAGATACAATATGTGAGAAACTTAGAACTTATAGTAAAATGGTTTAATAGTTTATAGTGATGCAGTTTTATAGTTTATAGTTTAAGACTATTAAAAAAAACCCTGAAAGCATGTTTGTTTTCCAATTGATCTAAATCTATCTCTTTTCCAACTAATCTTTTTTTTCACAGTATTGTGAACTAGACACACTATGTAGCTGATTCTGAAAATGGAGTTGTAGGGGTGATGTCACATCCGGTGGTTTATTCTACCTCTTTGTTGAGTCTCCGGAGTTCAGTGTTTTTGTTGAGGAGCTGCAGCTTCTCCTCATCAGAGGAGGTGATGGACATGCTCTCTGTGATGAGGGTTAACTGCTCCTCCCCAGAGAGGAGGCACTCCCCCTGCGCCGCCTCCTCCACCGGCCTACAACACACACACACACACATATACTTTTAGGATCTATTCTTATTGGTTTCACTTTATTTTGATGGTCCCTTTAACACATTCTGTTGACTATAAGTAACGTTGCACCTACATGTCTACTAACTCTCATTAGAGTGTTAGTGAAGTATTAGTAGACTGGTAGGGTTAGGGTTAGAATAAGTTGACATGTACTTGCAAAGTTACTTATAGTCAGTAGAATGTCTGTTGAGAGACCATTACAATAAAGAGTTAGCAGATATTAAGCAAACAGTCTATTAATATTCTGATGAGAGTTATTAGACATGTAGGTGCAACATTACTTATTGTCAACAGAATGTTCATAAGGGACCATCAAAATAAAGTGTTACCTTATTATTATTATTATAACCACTTCTCACTCTACCTTTTACAGTCAAATTTTGGCATGTTTAAGATTGAAATGAAACAACATCAAGACCCTTTCTGACGTTATCTTCCTATAAGGGACCTTACATGATACGGGCCAAACCACAGATATCACATGTTAATAAAAAGTCATTACTGCAGTAATTACAATAACAATGTGTGAAGCTGCTCCACAAAACAATTACAAATTAAATACATTATATTCATTATCAATACTAAACACCTTGGTAATTACACTGTAACATGAGAGTTTGAATGGAAAAATAAGCTAATCCAGATAAACCATTAAAGCTAAAACTTCTTTCATAGCCATAGGGAACAACACTGTGCTGTCATTGCTGTTGTGGTAATACAGTAACGGGCAGATGGAGAATCTGAAGCAGCACAAATAAAGTCATAGATGTTATGCAAATGTTCCCACAATTCATTACAGCCTCATGATGAATGACTCATGCTAAGCTGTGACAAAGTATGAACTAAAAGTTACACAAGCACATCACCAGGCCCTAAAAAATAAGAGAAAGTGACTATAAAATCTCCGGGAAATTTGAGCTGGGGTGTTTCTGTTACTATTGTACCTTCATGTGAGACGTGTTTTTTATTTTATTATTATTTTTTTTTTCCCCTCAGGACGTCGCACAAATATATCAAAATACAGTCACACTTTATTTTAAGGACCCATTCTCACTATAGTTGCTTATTAGTATGCATATTACTAGCAGACTGGCTGTTTATTAGTACTTATAAAGCACATATTAATGTCTTATTCTGCATGACCATATTTTAGATCCCTTAATCTGACCACATACCTAAACTTAACAACTACCTTACTTACTATTAATAAGTAGCAACTTAGGAGTTTTTTGAGGCAAATATCTCCCTGAACAGTTAAATTTGTTTTTAAAATTACAATGCTTAAAATGCTTTTAAATTAAAAGCTTAACCTACATCATGCCGCTCAAAACGACGGATATATTTCTACCGGTTTATCTCTCAACCCATAAGCGAATATACTTTGTTCAAACACAAAAAGCAATATACATCCATCAAGTTGTTAACTTGTTAATCAAACTAGCCTAAAATCTGTGGGGACGATGACGCTGTGTTTTTATCTGCTCCATGTGCCCGGTCCACTTGCTGTTTCACAACTACTCCTTCCCCTCTCTCCTCTTTTTTTAGAATAGCCCCTCTCTCACTTTCTTTTTAAGAATAGTTTACATTTTTACTTATCGAAATTGTTCTTTGCATGACCATTTCCAGATTATGCCAGAATGAACTGAAGAGAGGTGAGTGCTGACATTGCAGTGATCACCTGATTGATACATGGTGCACGGGTCGTTCAAAAGTAAAAACATAGAATACATGCATTTGATTGGTAAGCCAAATTCAAACGTGACGTTTTAATCTCTAAAGGTAATGCATGGAATATATGGAAAAGCTCCACTAAATAATAGCACTAATAAGTGAGGGGCGGGACTTTGGCAATCGGCGCTACCGATGACCAGTCAGTCTACTCCACAGCCAATCACAGGCCCCCTCCTTGTCCGGGCCTTCAGCCCTGTCTAGCCCAATGGTTAATGCGGCCCTGATGGTAACCTTACTTTCCACCAAAATACTTACAGCAGTATCTGTTACTACAGTAGTAGTGTTAGAAATTCTTATGGGAAGTAATGTTATTTTAGTTTTTTTATGACTTAGTACTGGAAAATACCAAGTTCTTTATGAATAGTTCTGTTTTTACACCAAAATGCCTGGATAATACAGTGCTCCCTGTGACAATTTACAGTTTTCATCACACTAACAGGAACTGTAGTACTCGTGGTATTTTAGTGGAAACTGTGATTATAAAATTTGTATGCACTAAAGAACACAAAATAACAATACAGCACAAAAATGAAGTGAAATGCATGGACGTCTCCCTACTGCCCCCTGCAGCCAACCGTAGGATCCTTCACTGCCCCACATCTTGTCCTTTCTCTGAAGCCAGAGCCAGAAGTTCCCTTGCTCTGCCTCCTCTGTCAGATCTTTAATTGCCTTTGACATCTTGGAGCCTCTTGACACCGAGAGACTTCAGGAGCCATTGAGTGGAGGCTCCAGTGAAGCCTCGACAGCCGACTTCCACTGGATAAGTGAAAGCACTCCACCCTGCTTCCAGAGAAGTATTTTGTTGCAAATTACAAATACTTGCTCATCAAATGTATTTAATTTAAAATACAAAATACTGGTGTGAGAAATGTATTTAATTAAAATTCAAACAATATTTACAAGCGATCATTTGAAGTGCAATAGACAGTGCCATTACATTTAACAATACTGGAGTTAGATAACAGAAAGAGAAGCGTTTTCCCCTCCTTGAACAAACAACATATTATTTAATACTAACACTAGACAATATATCACCCGAACTAAATATTCCCTCACAGTTTAGTAGTGCATGTAGAATCTACAGCGTCTTGTAATTCAGCTTAATTTATTGCACCCAAAGAAAAACTGCAGTGCTTTACAACTACAGGACTGGAAGAGCTAAATAAACTTATCACTGCATCTAAACCAACAACATGTTTACAAGATCCTGTACCCACTAAATTACTGAAAGAGTTGTTACCTGTAGCAGAAGAACCGCTTCTCAATATTAACTCGTCGTTGTCTTTAGGTCACATCCCAAATGTTACGGGGCTGTCGAGACGTGAGATGTGCGGATCTATGTGCAAAGCTTTATTCTGGAGACGTGGTCAGAAACAGGCATAAATCAAACATTGGAAACAGGTATATTGAGGGCAAGACAGCAGAGTAATCCAAAACGGACGTGGTCGATAAGCGGCTAACAATATCCAGAGTGCTTGACATGAGGGGTTATCCAATTACACGAGCTAGAGTCCAGGCAAGGTGCAAACACAGTCCGAAACAGCAGGCAAAGGGTTAACTCAAGATAAACAGGCAATAATCAGGTAACACGGGAAAGCAGCCAAGACAAGACTATGACTAGACTATGGAAATTAGAACTAAATACTTAAACAAGAACAGGGAACTGGCTCCGTAAAGTAGCTATCGCTAGGTGAGTGATGTGCGCTTACAATACTCAGCAGTGAATGGTTGTTTGAGTGAGTGTTATATAGTGAATGTGTGATTGGTTACAGCTGTGTGCATTCAGTGCAATGGATGATGGGATATGTAGTCCGGGATGACATGCAATAGTTTGTGTAGTGCGAGAGTCAATGTAATGGAAGGGTGACCTCTGGTGGTGATTGAACAGAAGTCCATGGACAGGATTCATGACACCAAAACCCTTCAAGCTGGCGGTTATTAAGCCTCTTATTAAGAAACCACAACTAGATCCTATTGAACTGACAAATTACAGACCCATTTCAAATCTTTATGTCTAAAATTTTAGAAAAAGTTGTGTCTGTTTAATTGTGCTCCTTCCTTCAAAGCAAATTATATCTATGAAGAATTTCAGTCAGGTTTCAGGCCCCATCATAGCACAAACTTCACTTGTTAAAATTACAAATGATTTGCTTCTTGTGTCAGACCAAGGCTGCATCTCATTGCTAGTTTTACTTGATCTTAGTGCTGCGTTCGACACTATAGATCATGAT